CGGGGGTCCCCGGCGCTCGGAGGCGCCGGCCACAGCGCCCGCGCCCCGGAGCCGGCCGCCAGGGCGCAGCGAGTCTGGAAAAGTTGGCGAGGTGAGTCGTGGCAGTCCAGGATCCCAGCTGCGGACGCGTGTCTCACGCCCGTCCACATCCCTCGTGCCTAATCCTGGGGGTGGGGAGGCTTTGGGCTGGGACCCCCCCCCCCAGGGCTGCCCACTTCTGTCCCCTACTCCGCCGGAAACGAGGACCCACCTTCGTGGAGCCCTGCTGGCGGCTCAGTGCTGAGGGCGATCGTGGACCTTGTTGAGGAAATGTCAGGGATGGTGGTTTGCATATTACACTTTGTAACTGTCAAGGCGAGACGTCTCTTTGCATTCTTGCAATCATGCACCCTCTGTGTAATTTTTCAAAAGCCGTCACGTAGCAAGAATGCTTTATCTCATTCTCATGTTTCGCGGGAGAATTCCTGCTGGAAACGGATCAGATTGAGTTGGGAAAGTTAGATGTTTACCGAGGACTGGCTGCGGTCGGTTACCTTCTCCCCGCGCGCCCCCAGCACCCGGGTGCTCCCAACACAAGAGGCATTTGACTTAAGTTCATTAAAAAGAAGTTTTGTTCTTGGAAGGAGCGACGCGTGGCACGGGAAGGAGACCGGGGCTTTCCTGTTCCTTTTCTGTTTCGGGCTCCAGCACTGTCCAACGGTCCTCGGAGGAAAACATCTTAACCTTCGACCTTGTGTTTGATTACTCTCTTTCCCTACACAAAGCCTAACACGCTTCAGCTTTTCAGCCGAGCGTTTTCTCTCCGGCCAGGGTTGCTGGAGTTCCCTCAGGTTAGGGATTTGCCTTCCTTTCCTTTGTTGTGGAGAGCTTTTTAACAATCTCCCTTCTTGTAGTGGGTCTGTTTTTTTTTTCTGCTGTTTCAAAGCTGTTGTTTCCAACTGCCTTTGCAACGTCTGCCTTTGCGAGGCTCCTTAATTACTTGAACCGAGTTGGAGAATTCTTTGTGAGCATATGACTAAGTCTATTTTGGCGCTTTTACTGCAACTAAGAGAAAAGACATGAAACCTCAAGAAGTAGCTGTGTCAGTTTCTGTCTCTGTGGTGCCTCATCATAAATAATACAGATGGGTGCTGACAGGTTTTAGGGGGTAACCCCGATGATCTATGGGAGTAATTTCAAGCGTTCTCAATACATGTGCTCTAAGTAAGAATATTTTCGTTAGGAACGTAATAAGGCGTTCTCTCCGATATCCTGAGGTTTCTTACAATTACACTGAAGTTTAACTGCAAGTTTACTGTGACTTCTGTGTGATGGGAGCAACTTGTAAGGTGATAATAGCTAACACCACTTAAGGCAGCTAATCAGTGCTAACGCAGTATGCAAAAGTAATCGAGGTTAACAGTTACATACGTGGTGCCATAACCCTTTGATAGTAATTCTCAACTCTTGTGATGGAGGGTCAGCTGCGCCAACATCATCTGAAAACTTGTTCAAAATGCACATTTTTGCCCCCCCCCAGTCAAAAGCCACTGGAGCAGTATCAATATTCTGTGTTTTGATACCTGCTTCTTTATTTTTTATATACTCCAGTGTTGGAGAACCTGCTCTGTGACGTAAGCATTCGTATTACCACCATTGTACATATGGGGAAAGTATTGCATAAAGATTAGCAGTTTGTCCAAGGTTTACAGATAACGTGGTAGATCAGGATGAAGAGCCAGGCCGTGTGCAGTGAGAGGAGTGACTCTTACTGCCATGGTGAGGTCCTAACACCCTCTTGGCTGTGATTCATAATCTTGCTGAGATTTTTCTAAAGAAGCACCATAGATTTTTGGAACTGTCTCATTCTTCAAGGTGTTGGCAACACTGGGGCAGCATCTTCTTGTCTCTATCTGGACAAATTGGCTCTGACTAGGAGATCATGAACAGAATCTAAATGGATGCTTTAGAGGACTCTTCCTGAGCAACAGTACCCTCAAAGCCATTTTTCTTTTGAACATATCTCTTAGATGATCAAGGAAATCATGCCCAACACCCTGAGAATAAAGAACAAAATTTACAAACTCAGGAAAGAATAAAAGACAAAAAGCCACAGGAAATCTCAGGCTCCAATGCATAAACAGTTGACATTTTCTGGGGCTTATTTATTGTTTCTTTTGCTACCCAGAAATGGCAACAGAAGATTCTGAAGCAGAGAGGGAGCAGGAGGAAAGATCTCTGCATGGGCTCCTTTATTGCTTTCCTAATTCTGCCTGGGTTAAATTTTTGTGGTTGAGGAGGAATTTCATTTAGGGAGGGAAGAGAAAGCCTCGTGGCTTCAGAAAATGAGTGCTTTAATCTCTTTATGTGGCCAGAATCCAGAAGAGATGGAGGCTATGTGATCTCATTTCTCCGGCCTGGAGAGGGTCAGCCTTGTGGCTGGAGTTAGCAGAGAGCTCAGATTTGGACGGGACACAGCCCAGCACCTGCTGGTCATGCACAGCTTGGGCTGCCTGGCCTCCCTGGGGTCCTGCTTTAAGTGAAGTTCTGCCACGTCAATGCAGGAAATAGCGCTCTCCCTCCACATCTTGTTCTCATTTTGGAGAAGTTTCCAAGGACTTGCCTAGTTAGCAGGCAGACCCTGCAATTTTCTAACTAGTCATTTGTATGCAGTCTGTCCTGCAGTAGCCTGCTTCTCTGTAAATACACAGCCAGGAGGGAAGGTCTGAGGTTTTAGGTCAAGGGTGGGATCTGAAAATGGACACCATATTGGAAGGAGCAATCCCAATGCACAAGACAAATGAAATCTTCTTTCTGTTTTGGTTTATTGGTGATTTATACCTGGCTGACTTCCAAAATGAACTTAATACAGTGTAACTTAAAAATTCATATACAATAAAGCCATCAAAATAAAGAAAAGTCATAAAGAGGGGGAAATAAGTGCTGCTTGCCAAAGACTTAGACCATTATTATTAGGGAGATTAAGTGTTAAATTTAGCTCTGAGCTTTCTGCTGCCCATGTCAAAAAGGGAACCATGATGGGCTGCCTCATTGTCACAGGATGATAAGAGGAGGGCTTTATCAACAGATGACTTTTTTTTTTTTTTTTTTTTTTTTTTGGTTTTTCTCCGGTACTGGGAACCGAACTCACGACCTTGCGCTTGCCACGCAGGCGCTTTGCCGCTGAGCTAAATCCCCAGCCCCAACAGATGACTTTTTTGATGAAACTGAATTCTAAAATAAGAATTTTTTACTTAAGAATAGATTTTAGACTTTGTTTTATTTTGACTTTTTTGAGACAGGGTCTCGCTATGCAGTTCATGCTGGCCTTGAGCTCACTTTGTAGCCCAGGCTGGTCTCAAACTCACAACGGTCCTCCTGCCTCAGCTCCCAAGTGCTGGGATTATAGGTGTGCACCACCACGCCCAGCTGATTTTAAACTTTGAAAGGACCATCCACTTTGCTCCTAAAAACTCTTCTTTGAGCGTGCTTACAGAAAAGGAAGCTTAGTGTGTCTGGTAATCAACAGTGTAGAAAAGAATATGGCATATGCAGTCCAGCAACCTGGGTTCCTTTCACCTCATTTTCTTCGTCTGTAAAGTGAATAAACCCCAGCCAGAAGTCTTCTCAGATCTCTCCCAGCTCTGACAGTTGGAGATCCTGTGATGAGATCATCAGGTTCAGGGGCAGGATCCCAACAATGACTGTTCCATAGCTCTTTGTGCTGCCTCTTGCAAAATCAGTTTCTCATTTCTTGGCTCCATCCTGGAGCTCTTACTGATTACTCAACCCTAACCCTTTCCTGGAGTTTATTCTTTTTCTTCAGCGTTGGCCTGGATTTTGCTGTTTTCCCTTAACATACGGTTTCTCAGGGAGGCGTGGGCTACCTCCGGGCCTGTGGTATTCCTTTGTCCTCGTGTTCCACAGTGGTTCAGCACATACCCTCTGCCAGGTGCTCACTGAACAATGGTGAAGGGAGCTGCTGCCCTCCCAGAATCTGGGCTCCGGAGGACAATACAGAAACACGTTACACTTGGCTGCCTCCCCAGCTCCCCCAGGAGAAGGAAGCGCACATCCTTGCTCATCAAGAGACACCATTTCCTGCAGCTCCCTGTGGGCTCTGAGATAAGTCTTCTCAGTCAAAGGTCTCAATAAACAGGCATGACGTTGTGCAACAAAATGCTAAATTTGCAGCCATGCTATGATTAGCTCCTAACCTCAGAGGGCAGTGGTCTCTAAATACTGAGCACCATCGGGGATGTTCGGTAGCTATGGGTCTTGCTTCTCTTCACAGCTCATGGTTGTTGTTTGATCTATAAGCCCCTCTTTTGTCCCTTAGGCCATGAGTCCCCCTGTCACCCTCTCCTACACGCAGTCAGTAAGTCCTGATCTGTTTTAAAATACATCCCCAGCTCCACCATTTCTACCCACCCCTTCCACGGTGAGCACCGAAGTAGCCTTCTTTCCGCTTTGCGCGGTTCTACTCTAGCGCCCTCTAACGTCCGTCTTCGCACAGCTGTGACGTAATCTTTCATAGGCGGACCAGATCAGATTACTTGGCTGGTTAGCATCCTCCAAGGACTGATTTCCTGTCACACTGAGAATAAAACTCAGTTTCTCAGTGTGGCCTTTGAGTCCTTGCCTGTTGGTTGTTTTGGAGGAGCTAGTCATGCTGGCTTTCCTGAGGAACTTCGTTGTTTTCGTCCTCTGAGGAGTTCGGGACCTCATTGGCCCTGAGAATGGCATTGAGTCACTTGGGGGAACTGTGGTCCTCATCTTGAGCATTGCTTCCTGGCTCCGGAGGGGAAGACAGTGCACTGCCGGTCTTCTGGAGAAGCTTGCTGCATTGGCTTCCCTGATGGGAACTCGGCCATCTTGGTCATAGGAGGAGCTCGGGACCTCAATGTTACTGAGGGTGGCTGGGGTACCTTTCGGGGGAGCTCTGGTTCTTCTGAGCGTCGCTTCCCGGGGCCAGTGCAGATCCCTCAGCTTGCTAGCACAGATCTTTCGTCACGCTGGCACAGACTTCCTAGATTCCCCCACTGACCTTTGGGCCTTCCCAGTGCAGATCCTTGAAACAGGCCTGCATGATATATTGTTATGGGCTCTGGG